TGGCTGAATGGGAGCTGTCTAGTTGGCTTAATGGGAGCTGTCTAGCTAGCTTGATAGGAGCTGTCTGGCTGAAATGGGAGCTGTCTAGCTGGCTGCATGAGAGCTGTCTAGCTGACTGAATGGGATCTGTCTAGTTGGCTTAATGGGAGCTGCCTATATGGCTTAATGAGAGCTGCCTATTTGGCTTAATGGAAGCTGTCTAGTTGGCTTAATGGGAGCTGCCTAGTTGGCTTAATGGGAGCTGCCTAGTTGGCTTAATGGGAGCTGCCTAGTTGGCTTAAAGAGAGCTGCCTGTTGGCTTAATGGGAGCTGCCTAGTTGGCCTAATGGGAGCTGCCTAGCTGACTTAACGGGAGCTGATGCTTGAAGACAATATGATTTCATGTATGGCTCCTAAGAAATGTCCATGGTTAACTTTTTCAGGAGGAAATCAAAAATATGGGGAGACATTGGGTGACCTGCATGTAATATGCAACAGCAAAATATGGAACAAGCCGATGTAAGCCTATTGAAGGATACGCTCTGCTGGTGGATAAAAGGAAAATGAAGAACTTTTTAAACTAGGCAGCTGTGACACAACATTCTCTCCAGAAGTTAGACAGGAAGGTGTTCTTATTCTTCATTCACCCTTAAAAAGATAGCTGGTGCACTGTCTTGTGGTTTGTAGCCAGACTGTGATATATGTGTGACTTTTGGCCCAACACAACCGATTTTATCAAACTCTTAATTAATCGACATCCTTGTTAAAGGGCATTGGTTCAATTCTTTTCCCTTCCCAAAATGGGCCTTTGTAACCCAGAGACAGAGAGATCAAATAAGTAACCAATGAGATCAGTAAATCAACCAGTCTAGGAAGCATGTTAGTCTCTGTTAGTTCAGCTACAATTTACCAGTGTCTAGATGCAGAACAAGGAATAACAATCAACTTGAGGCTGGTCTGAGTCCTCCTCACAATAATGGAAGGTGTCTAGCTTACTGTGTGTTGCCAGTGGAGAGACGAGCCTTTTTTTTTTAATGTTCAATTACACTTCTTGGGTGTTCTAGCTAGGCAGCTCAGCTGCTGCATCAGCCGGCCTCACCTGACACCAATAAATACCAAAAGTGAGTCAGTGATGGCTCTGCACCATGACGACAGACATAATTAAACATTGCAATGATAGACATCACCATAACATAACGATGGTAGACATCCCATAAACATCACGACGGTATGACATAACTAAACACCGTAATGACAGACATCACAATAATAGAAATAATTAAACATCATGATTTTAAACATCACATACGCGTGTACATCACAATGACTGGCATCACAATTACAGACAACACATAAAAGCATGGGGACAGATACTAAAGAACATTACAATTATAGCATATAACATGATGATCAACATCACAATTGTAGACACCACAAAACAACAAACAAAACAATTATGATGACAGATACTAGATAACATTATAATGATTGACATCATGTAACATCACATTTAAAGACACCACATAAAAAACATGGTGACAGACACTACATAGCATCAAAATGATTGACACATATCATAACGATAGACATCACATATGATGGGATGCACGTATAATGAACACATTAATTACTATCAGAAAATGTTAACCTAATGTTTCAAATGTCTCACTGATAGACATCATGAATCACATGTAAATACTTGCTTGTTTCTTTTTCGTTTGTTTTATTATATCAACACATCAAAGACAATGGACACATTAAGAGAAGACAGTAACGAGAGAGAGGGATGTGTATTATTACTAGAATACATTTTAGATTTTTTTATGTCGGCGTGTGACATGTACAGGTATTTATCAGCATCTTCCTCTATTTTTTCTTTCCTCCTCGTCATTAGTGTGAGACAGAGAAGAAAATTTGCTAACTTATTCTTAGAAACTTCGTTGTTTCTCTTTGGAGTAAACAATGTACAGTTATGCACCTCTCCATTACAAATCACTCTGTCGATCCTCAGTTTGCATTTATATATGGCTGGCTTCCACTCAACAGACTCCATCATCATAACCAAACCTTATATTTTTCTTCCTCAGCTCTTTATCCCCCAACGATGTCTAGGCCATCAACCAACTCAGGCCAAGTTGTCCTGTCCTTTGCTATCCCATGCAGCATATCCAATATCCCTCCTGCCTTTTTAACTTCACTTTCTCGTTCCCTTCTCCATATCTGTGTTGTTGTTTTTTTTTTTGTTTTTTTTTTTTCTTTTGTTTTTTTTGGTTTTTTTTTCTGTTTTTTTTTTGGTCTGCCTTTATTTCTATGACTCTGGGCTCCACCGTAAAAACATTCTAGTTATATGGTTCAGGGACTTCCTCAGCACGAGTCCTATCCAACACCAGCATCTTTTCTTCACCTCCTGATTCACTAGAATTTGTTTAGTTCTCTCCAAAAGCTCCACATTATTATGTTGTCATGTAATTGAATTCCCTATATTTACTACAGGCAATGGTTAAGGAATGCCTGTAGTTTTATCAGTAATTGTTATTTAGCTGCTCCACCCCCCCCCCTTTCAAACACCACTCTCAAAATAAGTGGCCTTAAAGGGAGCCGCCGTTGTACAGCAGCTAGATGCTCGCCTGCAGATCTGAAGGCCATGGGTTCAGGTCCGGGCGAGCCAGACTTTTAGCTCTCAGGTGGACCCAGCCTTAAATGGTCCTAGGAAGCAGAGGCAAACGGGTCTGAAGTAAAGTCCTAGGAAGCAGAGGCAACCACATCACTGACTAAATGAAATGGTAAGTAAATCTAATATCACTACTCAAACCTTCGATAAATCCCAAATTCTACTGTAATAAAGTTTGCAGAATGTAACGAACTGTGGAAGACCGATGTGGAAGCTTCGGCTAGTCCCCACAGTTATGATGGGCGCTCAACACCAATGCCTTTCAAAACGTACATGAAGTATGTTGTCAACTGGTGTGTTGCTTGCATAATGGGGTGGAACAAATTTATCAACAGAACCCTGTTGTGACAATGTTCTCAATTAATCCACCAAGCACCAGTGTAACAACATTAAAAACTATCATTCAATTCTTCGTGACTGAGTCAATCAATCAATCAATAATAAACCAGTCACCAGTGTAACAACGTTAAAAACTATCATACAATTCTTCGTGACTGAGTCAATCAATCAATCAATAATAAACCAGTCACCAATGTAACAACGTTAAAAACTATCATTCAATTCTACGTGACTGAGTTCTGAATCAATCAATAATAAACCAATAATCAATGTAACAGCATTAAAACTGTCAAACAGCTTGTCAATTGCCACTAGCATACCCTAAATAGCAGTGACTCCGGATGGCGCACTACTTCCTGAAAACGGTCAACCTTTATGTGAAAAACAAAATCATCCTATACAACATAACAAATTCATAAAACACACCCTGTACAACACATAAAACAAATCCAAGAAAGCAGTCATTCTGTAAAATACAAATTCATGAAAACAGTCACTATATACAACTAAACAAATTCACGAAAATAGTCGTTCTAAACAAAACAACAAACTCGTGAAAACAGCCATCCTGTATAATACATATTCATGAAAACAGCCACCCTAAACAACACAGCAACTACATGTAAACAGACACCTAATGGAAATACAGCAAATGCATGAAAACAGCCATCCTGTATAATACACATTCATGAAAACAGTCACCCTAAACAATACAACAACTGCATTTAAACAGGCACCTAATGGAAATACAGCAAATGCATGAAAACAGTCATCTTACACAATACAACAAATAACCTGCAAATAGTCACCATACAGTATCTAGGAAAAGAGCAACCAAGAGGTTCTGAAAGAGGCAGGAGCTCGAAGACAACTTATCACAGATATCAGAAGGAGACAGTCAACATTTTTTTCGGCCATGTTATAAGAGAGAAAATGAAACATGTTGTGACCACTGGAAAGATCTGTGAAAGGAGGGATAGAGAAAGACAACGAAAGAAGATTCTTGACAGTCTTGTTGCATGGCATGGAAGTGTCAGCACACAAACTAATTCATGCTGCAGGAGATCGCAGATTATGGAGAGGCATGATTGCCCATGCCAGTCGGCAAGGCACCTGATGATGATGATGATAATGATACTAGGGCTCAATTTCAGAAGTTGACAGTTTTAAAAAAAATGTTAACTGTTCTCATGGTTTCCAGACAGTAGTCTGAGAGTTGCACTGATGAAAGAGATTGGGGCCTCAGCACATAATATTCTCAAAGACAGTAGTGGATGCAACCTTCACTGTGGAGATGGCACATAATTTCAGTGATCCTATACACAACTCCCTGTCTGCACTGCCCTAAACAAGTAGTACGTACAGACAGTAGTGACAGTTCACTATACAACTCAATCAACATTTGAAAAAAGTCATCCTCTGCAAAATAATAAACAGAGCACAGACAGTTCTTCCCATACAATCCATTGCTAGAACACAGTTATTCCTTGCAACAGTAACTGGAACACACTGATTCTTTCAACAGGCGCTCTACTATTATTAAGTTATCTTAGTGCACTTGTATTCATGGCGAGGCGCAGACGCCGTCTGGAGGTGACAGGTTCAATTCCCGGCACGGTAACTATAGCTTTCGATTTTTATGTTGTCTAGTGTGTTCTTCTATCTTTCTACTTCTTTCTATGAGTGCCGTTCACAATACTTTCTGTTACTTGATTAATTCATACTATTATTAAGACATACATCACATGCAACATGACAAAAGGGGCATAAATAGTTTTTCCTACAGGGCACATTAATTCCGGAAACAGAATTTTCAAGCATAGAACTTTGAAGTATTATTTTTAACAACAGAAATAAAACAGATATGGAGCAATGCAACCACAAACTGCAACACGCACACAAAACAATAAGCTCATCAATACGGACACATCACAAGATGAGCAAATGCTGAAAGCCTCTACAATGCCACCATTACCACCAAAGAAAAGAGTTGCCAGATAAGTAAGAAGTATTATCTCCTTACACCTCCACGCCCTCCGCCACGACCCATTGCTGCATTTGAACCTGGAACATTGTTGCTACCATTCATGATACCGCGCTGTGGGCCACCCATCTGAGGCCGTGGCTGTACTCTTTGTTGGTTATATACTTGACCATTTCCTGTAGAAAGAAAAAATGTGTGAGCTATTTCTAAAATTAATGTGTCTGTAAAGCAATACACAAATATTAAAAATTTAAAGATTCAGAGCTGAGAGAACCCTTGCTCTCTCACTGCAGAACAGCTAGACATCTACCAAAGTGGTATCTCACTGCAGAACAGCTAGCCATCTACCAAAGTGCTCTCTCACTGCAGAACAGCTAGCCATCTACCAAAGTGCTCTCTCACTGCAGAACAGCTAGCCATCTACCAAAGTGCTCTCTCACTACAGAACAGCTAGCCATCTACCAAAGTGCTCTCTCGCTGCAGAACAGCTAGCCATCTACCAAAGTGCTCTCTCGCTGCAGAACAGCTAGCCATAAACCAAAGTGCTCTCTCACTGCAGAACAGCTAGCCATCTACAACGTGTTTCAAAAAGCAGAAATTATATAACTCCAACAATGATCCCTAAAAAAATCTGCAAAAACTTATACTGTGAACCAAAAAATGGGAGTCCATCAATGAGCCCAAAATCTTTTTCAAGTGAAGCAACTGCTTAGCCATGGAGATCCCCCAACAAAAACATTACAAGTAAATAAAAACAATGTGCAATGGAATTTAAGTATCTAGTTTTTTTTTTTTTTTTTTTTTTCACTAGATAAGTTGGGTCTTATTGGAATAAGATAATTCATGTGGGGAAAATAACCAGTTAGTAGTCATTTTGTTCCATGATGCTGCTAGAATAACCAAATTTGCTATTACAACTTCACGGTTAACAGGTCTCTATTTTCTGCCATTCTCTCTATATGCCCCATCCACTGCAGTCTATTAGAACTCATGATGCCAGAAAATATTTGTGATTTAAACAGTTTATAAATGTTATTTCTGCTTTTCATTCTCCAACATTTTCATCTGTGTTGGATCTACTAAAGATTCATCATAAGACTTTTCAAAAACCCCCCCCCCCCCCCCCCCAATCTCCCAGTTTAAGAACACTGTAAAATCTAATGGGAAAAGGACACTTGCCTTGAGGGGCACCTGTAAGCTGCGGTCTAATTGTTTGCCCTGCTGGCCCCAGTGGCATCGAGGATTCGCCTTTCTGGTTAGAATCCCCACCTTCTGTTGGAGATTTTCTTTGTGGTGTTTCCTGCAAATATGAAAACCCTCACAACTAATAGATGACTTCTTAACATTACATGTTTACACAATGGGTCAAGATATTATACATGTGTATACCCCCCTGAAATACAGATCACTCACTCCATCACTGGACAGTGGATCTGATATCCAGTCTTCTCAGACAAGGACTAAATAAACAAGGTACTATACGCGTGCTGGGAGCTGTGTAGTACAGTGGCCAGACGATCACCTGCAGGTGCAAAGGTCTTAGATTTGAATCTGCATGGAGCCAGATTGTTTCCCTAGATCTGACGTTGGTTTCAAAGTCAGCTCAGCCTAAAGTGGACAGCAAGTAATATCCTGGGAAGTAAAGTCAGCTGGCATGCTGATGATCACATCACCCACCAAGTGCCAATAGATCTATTCAAATCGCAGCCTAGCATCATATGTCTGAGGCCCCACTAGTGTAAAAATTGGTTATTTATTTACTTATGGAAATGAAATGTCTGAGAAGGGCTACATGAATGAACAGAAGAGATAAATTCAGGAAAAAGACCATAAGAGAATCGGCACAGAACCAATTCTAAATTAAATATTTTGCCCACTCAAAGAGAATGTCTTGTGACGCCATACTATACAAGTCTTACATCAAAGGGAGGAGGATGCCGATGCAGAACATGAGGCAGATCAAGAACGATATTGAAAGATAACATCAGAGAAACTCTGCAACAGCACAAAGTGTCTATGGTCAAGGCAACCAGAAGAAACAGAAATAGAACCTTTTCACTCTGAAGGGATAACAGAGGAAAGTGAGGAAGAAGACTTACATATGCATGGTGCAAATGTTTTAAAATCTCTCTCTCTCCATGAATAAACACAGGTGGTAGTCCATTTTTTAAAAGGACAAAATCTTTATTTTACAGTAACTCACATTTTTCCAGGACTCTGGATTCGATTCGCTAAAATTGGGCATCTCAATGAAATTTAGGCAGAACCTTTGAGGGATAATAAACAGAATCAGTTAAGATAAACTTCAACAATTTGTTTCTGTGTAAATCTTTCTCACAGCAGACTAGCTCGATCATTGTAAACTATTTGAATATTATAATTATGTAACTGAACAAAACTGTGTGTCACCTCAACACTAGAAGTTGTTTGCAGTGGAATTTATGCATCTACTGCTGTCTTTATGAATATTAATGAGGCCCTAATTTGTTCCACAGTACATCTCTTGTACCACTGTCTGAAAGCTACAACTGGTCTTAACCCAATTAGGTACAATAATCACAGTTAAAAAGGCAACATCATATGACATATGGTACAGCATATACAGTGCTGTACTTGAAATATTTGGCCACATTTCTTTTGCATATGGAGATCAAACATGAAGTAGATAATAAAACACAATGTGTTGTACTGATACACACAGACATAAGTTGAGCACACATGGTGTGTTGCTTGGGATAGAAAGAGTTAATAATAAATGACTCACAATTCAATTTATAAGGTTGGTCATTTACTTCCAGGTCAGAGGGCATCCGTTTGACAGATCTGACTAATTTATATGCAGATTGCTGGTTCCTTGCCTCTCATGCAGATGCACTCCAACTTTGAAGGAAGCTCCCAATTAGGCGACTCTTACGACATGCTTTTGGGTAGGCAGTGGGTCTATTCTTGTTTTCCCCATAATAGGGCCCCAGAACCCACACTGGGACACGGCATTAAAAAACAGCCATTGGGTTTCCCCCCCCCCCCCATCCACCCACCAAATTATATATTAATATCCCGACCTCCTAAACGCATGTGATGTGTCTCAAAAACACATCACTGTAGAAAAGTCAGTACGGTGACATTTACAAGGAATTGGACTGAACCAGTTTTGCAGCTTCTCTGGGTGACCAGGGTTAATTGGGGTGTATTTCCGCCAAAAGAATTTGTTTGTTAGCTTCTATTTATTTGTGTATTACTGTGACAAGATAAAGCTAAATAAAAGGAATTAAATTATGCTGCTTGCATCTTCTTTAATTAAATTTATGAGCATATTATCTTATTTTCTTTGTTGGACATTTCTATGACCCCACCCAAAAAAAAATACTTTAAATAAGAATATTAGAAAGCAAAAAATCCTTGACAAGAGTGAAATAGGTAGTCCAGGGAAGAAATTTATACAGCAGATATCTGTCACAGATTTATTAATCCTGACATACACATAACCCATATTTACAGTTATATCTATCTCTGTGCTTATACTAAAAACATAAAAATATTTACAGTTATATCTATCTCTGTGCTGATACTAAATAACATGAAAATATTTAGATATATCTATCTCTGTGCTCACCCTAATAACATGAAAATATTTAGTTATATCTATCTCTGTGCTCACACTAATAACATGAAAATATTTACAGTTATATCTATCTCTGCGCTGATACTAATAACATGAAAATATTTAGTTAAATCTTTGTGCTTATACTAATAACATTAAAAGATTTACAGTTAAATCTATCTCTATGCTTATACTAATAACATGAAAAGATTTACAGTTATATCTATCTCTGTGCTTATACTAATAACATGAAAAGATTTACAGTTATATCTATCTCTGGGCTTATACTAATAACATGAAAAGATTTACAGTTATATCTATCTCTGTGCTTATACTAATAACATGAAAAGATTTACAGTTATATCTATCTCTGTGCTTATACTAATAACATGAAAATATTTACAGTTATATCTATCTCTGTGCTCATACTAATAACATGAAAATATTTACAGTTATATCTATCTCTGTGCTTATACTAATAACATGAAAATATTTACAGTTATATCTATCTCTGTGCTTATACTAATAACATGAAAATATTTACAGTTATATCTATCTCTGTGCTCATACTAATAACATGAAAATATTTAGTTATATCTATCTCTGTGTTTATACTAATAACATGAAAATATTTAGTTATATCTATCTCTGTGTTTATACTAATAACATGAAAATATTTAGTTATATCTATCTCTGTGTTTATACTAATAACATGAAAATATTTAGTTATATCTATCTCTGTGTTTATACTAATAACATGAAAAATTTAGTTATATCTATCTCTGTGTTTATACTAATAACATGAAAATATTTAGTTATATCTATCTCTGTGTTTATACTAATACTGAAAATATTTAGTTATATCTATCTCTGTGTTTATACTAATACATGAAAATATTTAGTTATATCTATCTCTGTGTTTATACTAATAACATGAAAAATATTTAGTTATATCTATCTCTGTGTTTATACTAATAACATGAAAATATTTAGTTATATCTATCTCTGTGTTTATACTAATAACATGAAAATATTTAGTTATATCTATCTCTGTGTTTATACTAATAACATGAAAATATTTAGTTATATCTATCTCTGTGCTCATACTAATAACATGAAAATATTTAGTTATATCTATCTCTGTGCTCGTACTAACAACATGAAGATATTTACAGCTAAATCTATCTCTGTGCTTATAGTAATAACATGAAAATATTTAGTTATATCTATGTGTTTAAACTAATAACAATAACATATTTACAGAGACCCTAGAACAAATACTCACTCTCCAATTTTCAAAATCTCTCCTATTTTCCCTGTATACAAGGTTAGCCCTCCTTTCCACAGAGCTGCATACCTGAAGATGACATGATTCAGAAACTAGTATGTCTAACATATTTCATGGAGTTTTCTTTTAGATGACTTTGGCTGCCAGGTAAAATGAGCCTCATGTGGGTACGAGGAAATGCTCTCGGGTGTAAAAGCGGTCAATGTGACATCGACAATATCACCCATCAAGTGCCAGTTGGTTTACAAAAATGTGGTGAAAGCATTATATACTCATGCCCAGCTGGTCAACTAACAGAACAGAAAATGATTCTTTAGTTTAAATATATAGTATATTATTTACTTATGGAAACGAAATGTCTGAAAAGGGCTACATGAATAAACAGAAGAGATAAATTCAGGAAATATATATTTTATTTAACAATTATTTCACTTATACATTATTTGGTTGGTTTTTTTTTTCAAACATAGATATCTCTATTAAATTTATATTTCACAACCATTAAAAACAGGCAGAAGATGATAATTACAGCTCAATATTTGGAGAAAAAAACAAATTAATGGCAAAACTGACAACAACAAAAAGGAACAAAACTGTTGGCATCCTTAATGTACAGAATAATGACTACCAACAGCAAACATCCAGTAAGATCATCTGTAATTTAAATTATTAACACACCCTTTTATAAATTTACAAATGTCGCCCGGCTGAATGACATGTCCAGCTTCATCCCACACTGACACATTCATAGATCCAGTTTTGTCTGCAACTTTACACGACCTTACATCATGCCCATCTTTTGTGTGTGTTGGTTTTCCTGTAAAATTTATAAGAGAAACAATTTCTGTAAATGGAGAAATGCTATATAAATGTAACAAAGATTGTTTTTTTACTGTTTTTATCATCAGTTACTCCTTCTTCGTTAGTTTTGACTGTTCGTCGATTCTGGACTTTCATCTTGTGCCAAAACTTGAGTTTTAATATACATCTGTTTTATAGATACGGCTTATTTGTATGCAGACTGTTGGTTCCATGCCCTCTAAACAAGCATAACATGGGGAACCAACAGTCTGCATACAAATAGTTTAAGATTTTTTTAACTGATGTGCACATAAAACTCAAGTTCAGGAACAAGACTTAAGTCCGGAAGTGGACGAACAATTTAGAGACCAGAGTTTACAGTCTGAGAGCGCCCCCCAAAAAAATACAGTACATTAGTAGCAAGCGCTTGCCTGTTGGCTTTAGGGTCTTGGTCTAAATCCAGATCATTGCAGATTTGTATAACTGGCTTCTGTCTCCCAGATCAATGCAGCCACACACAAAATGAGTATTAGGAAATGCCATGGTAATAAACTGTAGCAAGCAAGATACTGACGACATCATCCGTCGAGTGCCAAGCATATCTATCGTCATAAGCACCAATGAAAAGTAACAAGTCCTTTATTTTTTTTTTTTTTTAACTAATTGTACATTAACAAAGTCTGCAAGGTCTGGTCATACCTGACACTTTAGCCAGCAGTTTTGGTGGCAGCTAGCTCTTCTAGGAGAGTGAACGTACAAATTAGGTTTGGAGAGGGAAAGAGCATCTCCGTGGCTTAGAGGTTAGTGAACGTGGTTAACAATTTCATGATCCCCGAGTACTCTGATTTTTTTTTTCAACTTGGAAAAGATTGGGGACTCACCGTGTAACATTCCCAAAGACACTACAGCCAACCTTCATTATGGAGACAGCACATAAATGTGCTTTAGGTGTTGCAAATCACTTTGTAATGTGTTCAATTCCAGCTGCAGGCAATTTGGCAGCAGACCACCCTGTATAGGGTTTGACAATGGTATTGAAAGCTCAACATTTAGAAAGCTAGTGCAACCTAATGAATGTAAAATTGCCTAGAAAAAGCACAAATGCCAGGGTTAGCTCTGCAACGTCTTGTAAAAGATACATAACGAACTTTTATTTTTAAATAGACAAGAGGCAGGCCAAAAAAAATGCCTAAACACAAAATCTGGCTGACTGGACAAGCCTGAAATATGTAAACATCCAGTTCATCTGACTGAGAGGGATCTGATCAGATAGTCAACAGCAACTGGGGACCTAATGCTTTCCGTGTAATTTACCGGACACCGAACAGGTGACTGGTGAGAATGATCGAAGCTTTAACAATTAAAATCAACAACCCACTCTTTTGTAAGCAGATGGAATTTATACTAAATTTGAAGTTACCCTGGTAAGTCATGTAACTATAGTGAACTTCTGGTGACTAGACAAACACGATAAATCAAAAAAACCATTTGCATTTCAGGTAGATTTATTCATTTTTGTGCTTCGTTTTATGTCGGTGTAAGTGATGTTGATGTAATTCTCTGTGGTAACGAACCTGACGAGAAACAGCAAAATTATATGGCAATAAAATGTGCAATGTATTGTTTGTGTCCGCATTATTTAAAAACAATACAGAATACTATAAAATCACCACTGATGATAATACAGAATGTTTACTTCATTACTGATCATGTAACATTCAGGATAAAAAGTATAGAAACTTACCAACTTCTAACACAATGAATATAATGTGTAAATTTTTCATGCCAGGTTTAACATCCTTTAAGAAAATAAACTGTGAATCGGGGGGAAGTTGCTTGCCTCTATCATTCTGCATCATCATTTTCAACTGTCAAGGCCTTTTAAAAACAAACAAACAAAATATATTAACGTAATCCAAATAACACTGCATCAAATAAACAAGAAAAAGAACACTGCACACACAAAAATTATATATATATAAATATATATATTTAAATAAATAATTTTATTAACTTTTTAAGTACCAGCCAGCTGTCATGTTTTTAGTTACCTTGTACAAGGTATACATTGCTTATTTTCTTCTATCCCATTCTTCTGTTATATTTATTTATTTTATCCAAACTGTCACCTTTGATTCTGGTGTGAGATAATACTAGTAATCATCATCAATTCCCTCTTCTGCTGTGAAATGTCATGGGGAGGAACAGTCTGCAATCCATTGATTGATGGACAGCAATGGTTAATGTCATCAATCCATCTTCTCCAAGGGTGACCTCTTGCTTTCACTTTAGACATTTTCATGTGTAGCGCCTGCGTCGGTCTTTTGTTCTGACTGCATTCTTACTAGATGACCAAACCGTCTGATCTTTTGTTTCTCAAAGAATTTGCTGCACGGTGTTGTTTCCATAGACTGTCTGATATCTTTTCTAGCTTTGTCTCAGATGGTTAAGCTGGTAGCTTTTCTCAGGCATATCATTTCAAAGGTGTTCATTTCAAGTAGGTTAACCTTTGATAATGTCCAAGTCCAGCACTGGTTGCACAGTGCTGGCATGAACATAAGATCCTAACTGGTTACTATCCATCGGCCCAGTTGGCGCGTGCTGAGTACAGGTATTTAATTTACCGCTGGCAAGTATTTTTTTTAAACTGAGTTTTAAATGGTATTTCCTTTTCTTTGTTTTCAATAACACACATACTGAGCTTAAGGTTTTTTTGGGGGAAATGTAGTTATCAGCACAAAATATAATGTGTCTGTGAGCTTTAATGAGTTACTAAGTACATGTTTGAAAACAGTATGGTCTCTGAGCAGACTTCATGTATGCTAACATGATTTATGGCTTTACGAGCCTCAAATTTAAATAAAACATGTATTTATCATATTTATCTAAAGTTAGATGAAGAAAATTGTGAAGAAGACTTGTTTCAGTCATATATAGTCAAACTTTGATGAGGGATAGCTCTAATATGTGCCTTGTGCAAAGCATCAAAAGATAACAAAGTCAGCTGGTACAAGGAGAATAAATATTGCTGAAAAGTGTGATTTTATTCAATGTTAATTTTAGTTCTATTCCCCTAAAGTATTTTAGGAAAATTTAGTGTTAAACATTTTGTGTGAAGATACTAACTGTTTTGGGTAGTCAATTCTACTTTACCAAATAATGGTGCTATATTATTATACTCCTACCCCTGTGTGGGTTCCAGGGCCCTATTATAGGGAAAACAAGAATAGACCCACTGCCTACCCAAAAGCATGTCGTAAGAGTCGACTAATTGCAGCTTCCACATTCGCAGTCTGACAGCCCAGTCGCAAACAGCTCTCGCTCGCTCGATCGCTCTACCGCCCGATACAGCCACGTGTGTCTCTCGTTAGCTTGCTAACTATCCATTCGTAGCCAGATTATCAATAGCTAGATACTGGTCAGAACTCGCTTGACATTCGGCTGAGTTTTGGCTCGACTACGCTATTGTTATTCATCTGCGGGTGGGTTATTAGCAGCCCGGGAGCACATCATTGTTGTGGAGCCAGTCATACCAGCCAGTATTTTGAACGATTGCTAGAGAACTAAGGAGAAAGCACGCTTGGGTGTCCTTTTTAGGATACTCTAACAAGCCTTGCCGACTCCGAAGGGACCTAGCTTTCGCCACAGACCGCAATTGCCATCATCGATTTTCCTATCATGGGAAAACAACAAGCAGCCGCACCTACACCAAGGAAGAGGACGGCCATACCAGCAGCATCACCAACGCCAACTGAAGCCGCCCCCATCGTGGCGCCAACACCAGAAGCCGCCCCTGTCGAGGCGCCGACACCTGAAGCCTCCCCTATCGTGAAGCCACCACCTAAAGCCGCCCCAGTCGTGGCGCAGGGACTTACAAGTGCCCGCTTACCTAAGCAGCAGCCTGGAGCCCACACCACAGACGTCATGCAGTGCTCACGCTGCAACAGGGCGTGGCACACTGCCGCGACCTGTCGCAGTGGCCCTATTTGTCGGTACTGCTCAGGAGCCCACAACTTCAAGGAGTGCCTGCTAGCGAAACTCGATAACGACTTCAAAAAGCCTAACAAGAAGCGGAAATGAAGCAACTGCTCAGGTTCACACAGTGCGAGGTACCTGGGGTGCCCATACCTTAAGAAGTGCAGGAGAGAAATGACAGCCGCCACAGCCAGAGACACATACCAGGCGCCCAGACAGCCAGAGGCAAGACCACCGAGAAACATATCAAGAGACAAACAAAACGATAAGGCACGCTCCGCCACCATTCGAAACGATATACGGCAAATAGTTGACCAACTGAGAAGCCAAATCACAGCGCTCCAGAAAGAAAGAACCACCGCCGCCGCTGAAAGAACGGAGACCCTGGAACTGATCTCCCTACTGCTTGGGGAGATCAAGGACCTAAAGGCAGAAAGGCTGGCATACGCTACCCAGCAAACAGACAGACAGTCAGAAGACGCAGAAAACCTACAAAAGTTCAGAGAACTACTTACCAGCCTGAGAGCAACCCAGGCAGATGAAGAATTACGCCGCCAGTCCGAGAGAGAGGAGAGAAGGAAGGAGCTGGTCGAGATTACAAACGCACGGAAAGCCGCATGCCACGAAGCCGCCCAGCTAGAGAAAGCCACCGCAGAAGCCATAACAGCAGCACAAGCAGCTAAGACAGAAAGAGCCCTGCTGGAGAAAGAAAGAAATGCCGCAAAAAAGCCGAACACCAACAAGGCTGACAAAGGCGTCTCCACTGACAACCTAACAACAAAGCATCAGGCGCAAATGACCGAACCAGAACATAATGAAACCAATGAAGAAGACTCTGAAGAGATCCCAGTCATCGCAAACACCGAACAGTCAGATGGAGAGATCATATCCGATGAAGAATGCACACAAGCAGAGGCGACAACATTGTGTTCAGAGGCAGAAGAAATCGTAATCCCGAAGGACATAAGCGAAGCCGGCCTAAGGGAAATTGTGCAAGTTTTTAACAAACATGAAAATCTCCCACACAAGATCAAATTCGCAGACGGCCGCTGCATTATCGACTATGACCGGGAAATATTTAAAAGTGGCAGACTCATATTCGACGAAGCAAGCGAAGCCTACATCCCAAAATTGAACAGGTTCTGGCAACGAGTGAGCGATGCCTACGAACAAATAAAAGCAACAAAAAGGAGTCAAAGGATGCGGGGAACACCGAACAGGCGCCGATAGATATCAGCCAACCAGAACCGACCAGGCCGCCATGACACACCAAACCACGCTCACCGGACCGGAAAAAGCCCACTCGCCAAAGACCAGCCAGGAATGATTGATCGACAGCCAAGATTGACCGCTCCCACCCTTCCCATCCCAGGCCACCCGGCACAAGTGGCTGTCCTTCTCAGGACAGCCATGTCCACTCCTTAAACCCGCAAGCCGCCCGCCAAGCCCACGCTGCTAACAAGACGCAACAAATGAAAGAAAACTCAGGCGAAAATGATCGCCACAAGAAAGAAATTCAAATCAAACCACAACTGCAACCGACTTTGATATAGCAAGCCGTCAGGTAGCTGAAAGAAGTCACAAGTTTGGAATTTTTGTTCTTATGAATCCTTAATCCATCCTGAATCCTCGACTAATTGGGAGCTTCCTTCGAAGTCAGAGTGCATCTGCCTGAGAGGCAAGGAACCAACAGTCTGCACACAAATGCATCAGAGCTGTCAAACAGATATACATGCAAACTCAGGTTCTGGAACAGGACTGCAGTCCAGAAATGGAGGGACAACCAGAACTTTCCACCAGAGTTTTACAGCTGGTGAACGCAAAGAAGAAGAAGACTATACTCCAAAAGTTTCTCTGGAACAAGCTCTATTGTACAGATTGTGTTTTTATTTTACTTAAACATTACTAAGCGGTTCATGTTCATTTATGATTAATTTTGGATTTATTTCAACGAGTTTTCCCTAAGTGCAATGGTGGTAAGTGGAGAAATTATTATTTAATTTTACTAGTTTCTCTAAACATGTCATCTGTTTATTTAGTATTTACCAGTACTAACACAATTATTTACTGCAGCAGTATTCTAATATTTTTCCTCAACAATCCCTGGTCACTTTGATGTATAATATGTGTATGTTGCATGGTAGCTGAATTCCCACCCTGCCTTCTGCTGGGGGTCCTGAATATAGCCGGGCCATAAATATGGCCTAAAATGGCTGAAAGAGGTTTCTGGGACCTCTCCACTGGTGATCCTCATCTGCATGGTGTCATTTTGTGTCAACAGGTGTTTATTACTTGTGTGATGTCCTGGTGGGGTACAACAAAAGAAAGAAAGAGGTAGCTGAATACGTATGGTCTGTTTTAATGTGTTACACTTGTGAAATTTAAAAAAATTGCATTACCACTCCTTGGGCTTCTCATGCTAAACCCCTTAGGACTCCCAAGAGTTCAGTATTGCGTTCCACTATAGGTCTACCTCTCGGCACTCCCTACAACAGCAACCAGAGAGGGGTGCAATCTATTGCCCGTATGTGTTCAAATAATAATGTTCTGTAATATTTAATATTGCTTCACATTAGGGTTAGGGCTTGGGTTAGGGTTTGGGTTAGGGTTAGGGCTTGGGTTAGGGTTAGGGCTTGGATTAGGGTTAGCCCTTATCCTAACAAGGCTCTCCTGTCAATTCAGGCCATTAGCTGGAAAGCCGCCGATCGCTTAGTGGGAGTTCTCTCCCTTGGCTGCATTGCAAACACGGAGCAGAAAAGTCACGAATAAAAAAAGACAGTGAGGTCGACCACAGGGCTGCCAATGCTTGGGTGTATCCCCCAGATCTGGGTGTTTATTTGACGCTTCAGGAAAATCTGGGGTTTTCTTAAAGTAAATATATCCT